ACGGGGCCCCACCTGCAGTCCGGCAAGGAGCCGGGTCTCTCCCACAACGGCCCGGGAACACGTGAGAAAGAAAGCCAGGTGTGGTAAGTCTTAGGAGGGGAGATAGACACAGACACACACACACACACCAGAATTGGCAGCAGCTAGAGTGGGAAGGGGCTGCCAGAGGCCCCCCCCCCAGTTTTTTTGTTTATTTAGAACATTTTTGCCCTGTCTTTCCCCTTAAAGGAGCTCAAGGCGGCCAGTTTGTGTGAAGGTCCCACATCCAGGTTCAAGCACTGACCTCTTGAGGGATGGACGCGGTAGACTGAAACCCACCTTCAGCCCCAGAGCCCAAGGCCGCCGGTTTGTGTTAGGAAGAAGGTCCCACATCCAGGTTCAGGCACTGACCTCTTGACGGAAGGATGCGGTAGACTGAAACCCACCTTCAGCCCCAGCCAGCATCACTTGTGGTGGGGGGATCATGGGATCTGTTGTCTAGCAAAGCCTGCTGGACCCACACCTTGCTGCCCTCTCCCCTCACCAGCCTAACGGTTCCTCCAGTCAAAAACAGAACCACTGAACCTACATCACCATCCACTTCATATTATTTGGCTTTATTTATTTTATAGGCCTCCTTTCTCCCCCGAAAGGGGACCCAAAGTCACTCACAACCATTAAAATCATGGGAACTCTGCAAACAAAGACGGGCTGCCCAACGGCAGAACGAACAAAGGCCACTTCTTCAGTGAGGGTGTCCTCCAGAATGATTTAGCCTTTAGGGGAGTCTTAAAACAGAGAGAGAGAGAGAGAGAGCAGTAATCTTGTGCTTTGTCCATGAAAAAAAAGACACACACACACACAGAGAGAGAAGCACCAGTCCATTACTTAACAAAACAGATTTCATCGTTGCTTCTCTCTAGCCGGGCGAGTTCGGAAACAAATGAGCCCTTTCAGGAGGTCTTAAGCACAAAGCAAACAAGAGCACCAAGCTATTAAAAACGAAGAATACAAACAAGCACAGAAGCTAATCAAGGGCAGAACCACCTTCAGACGGTTTGATGCAGAAAAAACATTTCTTTTTGTGTGTAAATAAATCTCCAGCACAGGAAGGGGCTGAACCTCCACCGTGAAATCAGAGCCGAGCCAAAACCAGAACC